GAGCACATATCCAAATATACACACACAATGCACATTCTTTGTAAAGAATTGTATAGCTTTGTTGTTGTTGAAACACAGTTAATCGAAGTTCTTTAAGAACTTTTCATTTCTAACATAAAATTTCTAGATATAAAATTAGTTATATTCATCTGTGTTCATTTCATTCTTGTTTTCCATATTTGAAAAGAAGCATTGTCTTAGAACAAGCAAGCAAGTTTGAGTAGAGTGAGGGATTGAATCCGACATAATCAAGCTTTTAATTTGTAATCATTGTTCCGCCTAGGATTACACATGGAGTTCTCCATCGAAGCATTCTCATGGTAATAATGAGGAATATCATTGAAAGGTTTTGGTAGTGATTCCCATAATGATTATTAATTTATTCCCATCTCTACTAACGAATGGCCGCAGAAAATATGAGAGTATACAAGTCATTTAAGCAGAAGCATAACGGCTATTAATATATACACTCTAGATTGTGGGCTGATTCCTAAGTTTGGGCATTACTCAAATGAGGCCCATTTATATGTTAAAAAGCTTGGTTACAGTATCAAGATGAACCATTCAATCAATCGTCACCATAAATTCCTTCATATGAAATATATTATAGTCCAAAATGTAAAAATTTGGTTGTTAGTAATCATTTACATATTATAGAATTGTTGCATGTATCATCAACAATTTATTTCGGTTTTATATGTATTATCAACATATATAAACTATGGATTGAAGATTCAAAACTTCCGTGAGGCCTAATGTGCAACGTTGTGTTGCAATTGCCAACGTTGTGTTACATTTCGGTATTTGGTCGTCGGATAAATACCGAAATGTATGTGTATGGAATCCAGCATTAAAGTATGCGATACTTATCCTTAATTAATTCAATTCATTTGATTTTTTTTCATTGACATTAACGGAATGAAGTCTTTCACGTGTGTCTAAAATCCCTAAACAACTCATCCCCAAAAGACAAACCTAAAAATTGAATGGTGCTAATAAACATGGCCATATGGCTCATTGAAAAAATATGTATGTAATAATTAATTGTTCGTCCACTATATATATATACAACCATCATGAGATAAATAAAAATTAGGAGACAAAGTGGGACTCATGTAATCGTAGGTTGCATGAATTAGAATCTGGAAAACAAAATTCAGATTTTATAGATATGAATTGTTGCTTTCAAATTTTTAATGTTCCCTTAACCAACTCATCCATTTTTTTTGTCATCATCTAACTCATTCACTTAGTTAACCCATAGTGGCTAAATGATAAAAAAATGATAATTAAGTGGAGATAATGCAAATTTGCTTCTCCCGTTCTCCGTTTACTTCGATACCGTTTGGACTAACTTTGTTGTGGTTGGATCGGTTGGGTTTTGCTAAACACGTTGTGTTTGTATTCATCGAAATATTCATACTTCAAGTTGGATTATTCGGTAATATAAAACAAAAAAATATCTTGTCCACTTATCTTCTTTCTATCGTTACAGGTTTGTGTATAATTATTGATTTTACCCAATATTTATCACCGATTTTGTAGCAAAAGTCCAGAAAAATAAAGGGAAAATCATCAAAAATGCCATAAATTTTTAAATTCTTTTCAAAAATATCATAAACCCAAAAATCTTTTTAAAAAATGCCACAAAACACTAGTTATCAGATATAAAATAACAATTTTACCCCCAACAAAAATCATACATTTTCTTTCTTTTGCCAACA